AAGAACAAGGATTCAGCCCTCACATCTTCCTGGCGGTGCTGCAAGCACAAACTCCCTACGAAGTGTCCGTGTCTCTGCTATCTATCCCTCTCAGACGATTCTCTCCGATTCTCTTTGATGGTTCTACAGATCGGGGAGTCAGAGTCATCGTATTCTCCACGAGCAGGAACATGAAGACACTGTCGACAGGTTGAGTGTTCAGTATTCAGTATTCAGTATTCAGTATTCAGTATTCAGTATTCAGTATTCAGTATTCAGTATTCAGTATTCAGTATTCAGTATTCAGTATTCAGTATTCAGTATTCAGTATTCAGTATTCAGTATTCAGTATTCAGTATTCAGTATTCAGTATTCAGTATTCAGTATTCAGTATTCAGTATTCAGTATTCAGTATTCAGTATTCAGTATTCAGTAAATTTGATTAATTATCCTACGAAAAAATGTCTATTGACTTGTTAATTTAAATCAAAAGTACGGGGTTAAACTGGGCTAGATATAGGGTAGAGTTCACATGTTCTGTAAATCATAGCTGGTGGATCACATCACTAATTATACGTCACATCACTAATTATACGTCATATGATCTGACCCCTAATAATGGAGGGCCCCCCTTTGTCGTGCAGCCCTCTGCACCTGCTTAATAAAGTACGTACGGTACGACTACGAGGTTTTTTATTAGTACGTACCGTACAACCACTTTAAAGGACCAGTTAACTGAAAAATTTGTAGTCTCCAATTTGGCTAAGATTTAAATCAGCTGTGACAAACTGGTAAAGAATCGTATCGCCGAAAGAACCAACTCTCTATCGTACGTGTAACGCGTGTTATTGCAATAATAAGCTGTGGCCTCGTGACGTCATAAAGTCCCTCAGTGCGCGCTTGCATAGCGTAATTTACATTACAAATGTTTATCATCGTCAATAAAACACATGTAACTCACTCAAATTTTAGAATTATGACTTTTACCCTAGTTCTCCAAAATCCTTATAGTTTTGGCTATCATTCTAAGTAAAGGAATAGCTGATTGGATGTACAGTGCTCACGTCATGATTTTAAACAGTGATATAGGTTCTTGAACAGTGGCGGGTGAATGTACGGTTAGAAAGTTTCTGCTATTACAACTTATGTCATATCACATATGTGATAATTTTGGATTGCTTTCGTTGCTTAATTACACAAGCAGCTAGGGAGACTGTACCGATTATTTTTGTCCATGAAACTCTAACGAATTTAGAAAGGATCTAGATAAGTAGGAGTTTGTTCAATTCCTAGAGCAATTATATTTATAGCATATAGCGAAATTTATAACTTTAATCCGCATGTGTCAGCCAGTACAGGAGACAAGAAGTCTGGCTACTTTACGGCCGTTCCTCTGGGACCATTAGTAGAAGTAGCTTCTATCAGAACAGTGCCGTGGGAACATAATTCCCGCCAAAATACCCGGTCTCGGGTCTACCAAACAGTAATACTGTTCGGAGTGTACGGTGTGCAGTGTGTTTTGAATTAGACTTACGGCTTACCTAGTTGTTATCCTAATTGCATTATCATCGGTACATAACATAAATAAACTACTGGTAAGTTTAAATACCAAGTGCAAACGTGTTCAGTCAATCGACCCACTGAACAATTATAGAATTTCCAAGACCCTATTATTCTCTGGCCATATATTACGGCACGATCGATTGTTAGATGGCTAAACGACCAACGTTATAATCTATACAATTCTAAAACTATGAGCTAGCACTTTAATCTAAAAATACACTTTTTATATTACTCCTGATTTTTACATTTCACGTAAAACATTGTCGCCACAGGTTGATCATGGACACTAACAGCTTAATTTGAGATAAATGACTTATGAGTTTCTCTAAAGTTAACTCTTAAGTTGTGTACTCCAGTCATTTATGGACATTTATGGAAATGAACCTGCAAATGTTCAAATACTCTCGAAACTTTGCACAGACCTTCCTGAAGGTATGAATAAACGATTTTCGTTTGGAGACATTTTTTTGACCGTGGAGAAAACCCAGGAGGGCCACGCCCATATTGACCCAATAACGTAACCGACCCCTTGCTTCTGAAGGTCGTAGAGGCTTCAAAATAGGCTTAAACGAAGCCGCATATGCATGTTTATATAGGATTTATTGAGCAACACATGGCCTAAAATCCTTACTTTTCGAGAAATTCGCCAAAAACCATTTTGGGCGTGGTACTGGTGCTGAGCCCATTTTCGATAGGATCGTGATAGAGTCTTTGGACAGGGTGCAAAAGAACCGCAATTAGCATATTAATATATGACTTACGAACAAACATATGCCTTAAAGTGCTTACTTTTTCAGTTATTGGCGAAAAACTGATTTTCGGTTCCAGAAATCATACAAAACTATGGGTATCTGGTAACTTGGGCTATGAAGGCCCTAAAGGTTTTTGAATGTGTGCAAATTGTGCAGAATGGCCATGTTTATATACAACTTATGAAGCAACATGTACCCTAAATTACTTACTTTTCGAGTTATTTGGGGGAAAAGATTGTATTATGTCCATTTTCTACCTGTAAAATACAGTCTCACGAGCTCTTCTGCGCGCGGGAGGGACTTTATGACGTCATCGCCAAAATAATACAAACGCTATTTACACGCGTTAGAGAGCAGTTAGAGATTTAGGAATTTCGACTCGTTGCTTAGTTTGCTATTTGTCACAATCTGTCAAAATATGAGGATAACTTTTTTTTCAGTTAACTGGTCCTTTAAAGAACGAAATTTTTCTGAAAAAACTGTGACCGTTTTTACCTTATTTTTTATTGTTGTGAAATTGGCAGGTATGTATGGAATTTTCAAACCACGATTTTAGTGCCAGTGAATGCTAAAGTCAAATAAAACAATTTTCAAGACAATAGATTAATTTGAATAACTGCAATTATACTCAATAGGAGTACGTACACTGTACAGTCATACTATTCTAATGATGGAAATAAGAATACAGCGGCATAAGTTTAGGTGCCCGTAGCGCCATTTCAAGTGTTCCTGTTTGCTGTTATTATTGTGTCACGAAAGTCGGACTTCCATCGAAAACCCATCTATTTTACTTTATAACCAATTTTACTAGTACGCAAGGTACAGCCATTTTAAAAGTACGTACCGTACGAACTTCTCATCATAGGATAAAAAGAGTAATTTTAATTCATTCTTGTTCACAATGAAACATCTGCCTCATGAAATTTAACTTTACAGAAAGCTTATTGATATGAGATTGGCGACGAGAAATTGGTATCTATTTGCTATTGCTTATCCAGATCTTTTCATTTCAAAACTTGGATAATGCACTGACTACAGGTTTTGATACGGTACTTTATCAACAATTTTAGTCGCAAAATGAAAAACTTGTTTTATTTCACATGGTAATTTTTAACAGATTAACAAATCAAAATAATGTTAATTTGTTTGCCCTGGACCAAAACGTTGTAAAGATTTCGACTGACTTTATGTCAGTACATATCTAATGATCCACTCATAATTTTCAGTCAGCTCACCAGTAAAGACAAAGTTGGGGAAGAGGTGTGCTCACCAGTATGAACTGGAAGGTAGCCCAGAAGAGTGCGATCCAAACGGAGCTTATCCTTGTTGTCATGAGAGAAATACTGATAAGAAGGTAAGTTTTTGTCAGGCAACTGATTGTAATCGTGAGAATAAGATTACCGGATTGTGAGGGACTTGAGGGATTCAGAGACAAATTGTGCCACAACCAGGGTAAGAGACTTCTTGAAGACTGTATGTTCTGATGAAGCAAGCAAGTCTAATAGCGGTCTAACTTAGTCTTCGTCCTTCTGACGGTATGGCCCTTTAGCGGGCTGTCTAGCTTATACTTTGTCCCTCTGACGGCATCGTTAACGGTATAATTACTTCGCTCTTACTCTAATTTTGGCGGCATCGTTGACGGTATAACTTATTCCTCGTTCATCTGACGGCGTTGCTCTATAATAGCGATTTAACTTATGCTCAATAATCGACAGCGTTCATTTATAACATGTTCTAAGATTTAAATAACACGGTGCAGTTAGTTTGCAGATCAACGGTTACAAGTGTTTGGTTTATCGGTGGGGTGAGTAGGTGCAAGTACTCGCCAATCACGTACGGTGGTTATACAATGGCATAAGGGGAAGCAATGCGAAAGAAACATTCTGTTATATTGTTTTTTTTAAGGTTTAAAATTAACGTAGGTCACTCTTCGTAATTATTTCGATAGTTGTTTTACCACTAGTGTTTTGTATCTATTATTGCTCAATTGTGCTGTAGGCTAGATTAAGGTGTGATTCCGATGGTCTCATTAACAATGATTCCGCCTAGTGTTTTGTGTATCAGGGACGGGTTGGGTTTCAAGTCGGTTTCCCGTTTCACCTTTTTTTGAGCAGCCGATTAATGCAATCCGGCCTGTCAGCCGATCCCTCTTTGCGTAATACTATCATGGAGAGCCCAATTGTAATTGTGTGTATATAGGGGCTCATATTTTGATATAGCTTGTGTTATTCATTTCTTACCTGTTTGATTGAATAGAATTTGTTGCTTTTTCAACTACATAATATGGATGTTGATATGGAGTCCATGGGGCCAATGAAGACGCTGACACTATTGGTCGATAACTATGTTGTCGATTTCTTAAAGTTGAGATCTGACGTTGTGATGGATGATCCCTACAGTGGCTTAAGCATTGTGGGACGAATGGAGAGGCGAGGGGTATCAATCTCGTATGCACCGGTCGGGGATATTGAAAGCAATATTAGGCTATGCGGGTATACTGAGGACATTCACGCAGGACTGAAGGTCCTATTTCAGACGTATCGGCACAGTGCGTTGCTATGCGATTAGTCAATAAAGACACCGTGATTGTTAGAAAAAGGAGATGATGAAGCAAGTACACATGATACAAAGAAGAATGGTCGGTGGGGATTGGGACCCACTTAAATCACCTTAACACAGTGCCCCTCAGTAATCCATCCTGTCACTCAAATTATTTGTTATATAGTAGTGTTGAAAGTATTACAACTATATGCTGATCTGGTGATTGTGATGATGCTGACCGGATCATTTCGGTGTGACGACCACGACTTGATAGTACCGAATTGGGGACATACGTTGGGGTGGTGAATCACCACCGAAGGGACTTAACTCTGGAGGAGGTGCGTTGGCTGGTGAGCGAGTAGCCTACTGTGGCTGCCAGTTATGGCGGGTGAAGTGACTTCCTGCGACGTCCTACCAGAATTTGAAGTCAGGATTTTAAAGCAGATAAGACAACTGACTTATTCGGTAATAAATATATATGATCATAGCAAAACCACATGATCCTGCTTGTGCCTTAATGGTTGTAAACCATAACCACAAAATTCCCTAGAAACATGACTTTCCAACCATTAGCACTCCAAACCAACCTTGCTCCCAACCAACTAACCTACGCAGAACCATTATCCGATGTCACGCTCGTCCCCTCCACAGACATGCTCACCCTCCAGGAAACAATCCAACTAAAGCAAACGTCATGGTTACTCTTCGGCCCCCTCGGCGAAGCCCTGCGATTGACCATTGGACACAATATGGGATCAGTGGGCAACCAAGCCAAGGTGGCAATGGTGAATGGGACACTTGAAAACAGAATTGTTCAACCGTGTCAATCCAGGCAACATCGAGGCCCAAAAGTGGGAAAAAGCTTTCACCTACAGGGTCCAGATCATTTCGGTGTGACGACCACGACTTGATAGTACCGAATTGGGGACATACGTTGGGGTGGTGAATCACCACCGAAGGGACTTAACTCTGGAGGAGGTGCGTTGGCTGGTGAGCGAGTAGCCTACTGTGGCTGCCAGTTATGGCGGGTGAAGTGACTTCCTGCGACGTCCTACCAGAATTTGAAGTCAGGATTTTAAAGCAGATAAGACAACTGACTTATTCGGTAATAAATATATATGATCATAGCAAAACCACATGATCCTGCTTGTGCCTTAATGGTTGTAAACCATAACCACAAAATTCCCTAGAAACATGACTTTCCAACCATTAGCACTCCAAACCAACCTTGCTCCCAACCAACTAACCTTCGCAGAACCATTATCCGATGTCACGCTCGTCCCCTCCACAGACATGCTCACCCTCCAGGAAACAATCCAACTAAAGCAAACGTCATGGTTACTCTTCGGCCCCCTCGGCGAAGCCCTGCGATTGACCATTGGACACAATATGGGACCAGTGGGCAACCAAGCCAAGGTGGCAATGGTGAATGGGACACTTGAAAACAGAATTGTTCAACCGTGTCAATCCAGGCAACATCGAGGCCCAAAAGTGGGAAAAAGCTTTCACCTACAGGGTCCGGATCATTTCGGTGTGACGACCACGACTTGATAGTACCGAATTGGGGACATACGTTGGGGTGGTGAATCACCACCGAAGGGACTTAACTCTGGAGGAGGTGCGTTGGCTGGTGAGCGAGTAGCCTACTGTGGCTGCCAGTTATGGCGGGTGAAGTGACTTCCTGCGACGTCCTACCAGAATTTGAAGTCAGGATTTTAAAGCAGATAAGACAACTGACTTATTCGGTAATAAATATATATGATCATAGCAAAACCACATGATCCTGCTTGTGCCTTAATGGTTGTAAACCATAACCACAAAATTCCCTAGAAACATGACTTTCCAACCATTAGCACTCCAAACCAACCTTGCTCCCAACCAACTAACCTACGCAGAACCATTATCCGATGTCACGCTCGTCCCCTCCACAGACATGCTCACCCTCCAGGAAACAATCCAACTAAAGCAAACGTCATGGTTACTCTTCGGCCCCCTCGGCGAAGCCCTGCGATTGACCATTGGACACAATATGGGATCAGTGGGCAACCAAGCCAAGGTGGCAATGGTGAATGGGACACTTGAAAACAGAATTGTTCAACCGTGTCAATCCAGGCAACATCGAGGCCCAAAAGTGGGAAAAAGCTTTCACCTACAGGGTAAGGGCCTTCTATGTAGACTGTCACTTCAGGCAAGGCAATGCAGTATACTCTCTAGCATCGCTTTTCGACCTCATGGACAAGATAACAGTCATCAATGTTACCTCTCACAGTTAAAATGCCTAATATTGATACTGTTACATTTTGTTTTGTAGTAACCATTTCCTGATATATTTACCATTTATGTTGGTAGTTTTACCCCAACATCCCCTAGATTACCGTCTCTCAATCGTCCTATTACATTAGCTGGAATGATAACTATCAATCCAGCTTGCGATCTAAATCAACTCAAGTAAATCCGTGTTTGATGCACGATGACTCCAAAGTACAAAGTATTCTAAATAAGACCGAATCCGGTCATTACAACTAAACTATGAACTAAATTATGAATGAAATTATGAATGAAACTATGAACTAAATTATGGATGAAATTTTTGATTATGAATGAAATTATGAATGAAATTATGAATGAAATTATGAATGAAATTATGAATGAAATTATGAATTAAATTATGAATGAAATTATGAATGAAATTATGAACGAAATTATGAATGAAATTATGAATGAAATTATTGATTATGAATGAAATTATGAATGAAATTATGAATGAAATTATGAATGAAATTATGAACGAAATTATGAATGAAATTATGAATGAAATTATTGATTATGAATGAAATTATGAATGAAATTATGAATGAAATTATGAATGAAATTATGAATGAAATTATGAATGAAATTATGAATGAAATTGTGAATTAAACTATCATTGAAATTAAAGGTCATTAACCCAAGCCCTCATATTATATCGACTGCCTCGTCCTAAAACCCATCGGTCTGTCGTCAGGCCATTGGCCCAGAGCACAGCCACAAGGCCCCGTGAACCCTCGTGTCGTAACCGGTCTACCGGAATCAGGCCCTGTAGATGTTTAGCCAATCGTCTAGCTAGACGAATGGCTAGACATCAATTTTGATAATCCCGGCTCCCGCTGTTAGTGTTAGTTTTTTCTTACTGGGCGGCGCTCAGCCTGACATTCCGCCGAATTTTTATGTTTATGAACATAATAGCCTGGGGTCCCTAGGTAAGTTTTTTGGCTCTTACTAAATCGCTCGCCCAAAAATTTCACGTGACTTTGGTTTTTTTGGTTTTGCAGCCGTACAAAACGGTTTTACATAAACCCTAATCCCAACCCTAACCCTAATTATAACCCCGAAGCTATCCATAATCTTAACCACAACCCTAACCCTAACCCGAGCCATAAATAATCGAATTCACGTTTTATTAGCCTGTCACGTGACCAAAACGGTTTTTTGCCCATAACTCTCCAGGGAAACATTTTAACCCTAAGTCATGGGGGGTGATTCGGAATCAGCGTCCAAAAATACACCGATCTAGATCACTTTCATGCCTAAAGGGCCTTTTCACAAGAATTTTCTTAAATTTGGGCGAGCGATTTAGCCGGAGCGAAGTTTTTTCCCGCTTAATAAATAAAATTTTACTTGTACGTTGTAAACCCATGCCGCGCACGAGTGCGCAACTAGGCTGTATCTGGTACAGTATCGTAGCGACCATGTAGCTAACGCGGAGTATAAAGGTATTTTGGTTCAAACTTGATTCACGATGTCAATCCTTCGAAGCTCGGTGAGGCACAGTGGTGCATCTCGCCGATCTACCAAAGATTGCGAGAAGAATTATTTGATGCGCGGCGCGACCCATGAGTAGTGCATCGCGCTACAAGTTCATAAATAGAGATTAGGCGGAATGACAGGCTGAGCGCGTCCCAGTAACTCATCATGATTGGATCGTAATTCAAAAAATAATTTGACAAGAAGTGGGGCCGGGCTCACCGGATCACTTAATGATCGAACCGTATACGAAATATTCTTGATACATGTTTCGTATCCATGCAACGTATGTCAAAAATATTCTTACTGGGCGGTGCTCAGCCTGTCATTCCGCCGAATCTTAATTCGAGAAATTTTTGGCTAAGGAGCCCGGAGCATTTTTACCCTATGTCATAACTGGGGCCGGGGGTGGTTCGGAATCAGCGTCTAGGTCTGAAAATACATCGATCCTCAATACTCAATCTTGGTTAGTTTAAACTGCTGGGGGCCCTTTTAGAAAAATTTAAAAGATCGAGTGTAGAGCACGAGCATTAAGTGATTTAGCACGAGCTACCGGACAACCGAATCACCCTACAGTCGATCTTCGAGATTGTTCTAAAAGGGCCCCTGACAGTCGAAACCAACTTGCAGAATCGAGATATTTTCGGACGCTGATTCCGAATCACCCCCATACCATGACATAGGGTTAAAATGCTCCCCTGGCGAAAAACTGTCTCGATCACCAATCACGTGATATGACCGTATAAGGAAGTTAGTCTAATTTTTCGTTTAGTTAGGGTTAGAGCATATGCTTTTGTTAAAGATTGGGCTAGGGTTAGGATCAGATTAGAGGGTTTTGAATAGTCGTTCAGGGCCAGGCGCTAGAGAACGGGTTGATTGTCGCCCACCCAGACAAGCATGACATAGGGTTAAACTTAAATTTCCTCCCAGATCACCAGTTGTCGGCGAAAAATTGTTTTTATCACGTGACATGGTCGTTACAGGGAAGTTAGTCAAATTTCTCGTAACTAGGGTTCCGGTTACGGTATTAAGCAGATGCTTGAGTTAGGGATTGGGTTAGGGTTAGCCTTAAGGTCACAGTAGTATATAGGGCCATAGGATTAGGGGGTTAGGGGTTTGAATTGTTTGTCCAAACCATCTAAAGAACGTGTTGGTCACTTGATAGTCCACTGTAGAGTGATTTATCATCATCCCTATTTGATCGAGTTATTGCAAAATGAAAAATAGGTTTCGAAAAATTGATGCAATAGTGAATAGAGTACATAGATTAAATCGTTGATATTTTAACCGTTCACATAGAACCGTAATTTTCATAGTTTAAATAAAAATTAAACGAACACGCGAAACAATTATACTGTAAAACATTTTCAAGTTTAAAGCGATTACAATGACCAAGAACTCGAACAGTTCGACACCAATTAAGTTCTGAATACTGGCAAAAATGAGATTATTCAAAGGATTAAGTAAGAGCTGGTATTTATAAGTAAGACTATCAAAAGTTCGAAATATTGATAGATGTTTTAAGCTGCCTCTGTGTCCATGGTGTCAGGCGTTTCAACTTTCACATCCCCTTCAGTGCCTTCTTCACCTTCTGTCTTTTCTACACATTCCTTTTTAACATCCTCTTTCGTGTCTTCCTCTTCTGGTTTTCGTTTTCTGGTTGGAGTGAAATGAGGTTAGACATATTTTTGTTCGATAATTCACATCTAAAGTGCACTTTATCTTTAAGACAATAGTGCTTTTTTACAAAATCGGCGGCTAGTTGTCTTTGAATTAGAATTCAAGTCTAAAGAGGACAAGTTTAAATTTAGATCTAACCTATTTTTGTTGTTTGGCCTAGGTCCTCTCATTCGGTAACCACCTCGACCCCTGGGTCCAAAAGGTGGCGGTCCTCCACGTCGCATGTGTGGAGGGGGGCCTCTCCAAGGCCCACGCGGTCCAAGATGGGTTGGGAATGGCGGGGGGCCGTGACCATATGGTCCAGGTCCGTAAGGGGGTTGTCTGTGATGATGTCCACCTCCATACCCTGGGGGTCCGTAGGGTCTGGCTCCGGGATGAGGGGGTCTTCTCATTCTCATTCCTCGCATTCTTACAGGGTGAGAGGAACTGGGGTAGTTGTGACCTGCTGCTCCGTCGTATCCCTCAAAGTCTTGAGAGTCCATGCCTGAAGGATTTAACATCGAATTTCAGTTGCACCAAATTAAATGAAGAAATGAGCACGCCTGTTTTGAAAGAGTGGAAACTAACCTGAACCAGGCTCTTGCTCCACATCCTCCTCAGCAGCAGCTTCTTTTTCTGACAGTACTGCAACTCCCAGAAACTCGTGAATCTTGTTGAAAGCAAGTGCGCGCAGTCCTGCTTGCGCATCCATTGTTACTTTCTCTACTGCCTCCCTGTCTAGAGACTGTGTCAGGTCGACAGATGGCTCCGTGCAGGGATCTGGGATAGAGCTGTTGCTGCAAAACAGAACTCCAGCGGAGATAGCCTCAAGTATTCGTCGTATGATGTCTCCCGGTGAGAATCTTCGGCCTTGATTTGCTTGCAACAGTTGACCTGCAGTTTATATTCAATTAAGGTTCTACTGTGAGATAAAAAGATCAAAATAAACAAAAAGGAAACCCTGTACTGTGACTGGTTCAATACTGGTAGACTTAATTATATTTAAAATAAAAGTGGTGGAGTCTAAATTGGGAAGGGCGATGATTCACAATAATTAAAAAAATCAAATTCACAAACCAACTAAGACGTCTAAAATCCAAGGTTTTGCTGCATCCCTCCAATGTTGCTTATCTTCTTGTCTCATGATGTGATGCAAAACCCTCAGAGCGATAACAGAAGAGGGTACAGGGCTAACGTTAGCCTGGAACCAGTTGGCGTGCTTCAACTCCTCCAAAACTCGCAGACAATTTTTCCTGTCTAGAACTTTTGCTGCTACATCGGCTGGGTGGATTGGTGATCAATATTTCTCGACAGCTCGATAATTTGTTTTATGTACGCTTAAACTTACATTGCTTTCAGATGACTCTAAAGGCGGAGAAGTCAATTCTTTTAAATTATTATTTTGTCGAATAATAAAATTTGGGCCGTGATGAGAACGAGTTAACAACAATATTACAGCCCTGAAAATGAATAAAATGTCGAGAATACCTGTAATACTGGCGGCGGTTGCGTCAGCCTCCATAGCTTTAGAGGTCATGGTAATTTTGACGCTGAAATCTTTGGGGTCCGTCACTATGAATGCGCCTTTGCTTGGTTCGACAGTTACTTTCAGAGCTTTCTTTTGGGCTTCCTGGAGGATTTCATGTGTTATGAAGATAATATCTTCTTCATTTCTTTTTTCTCCTTCCAATTTGCAGCTAATTTACAGCTAAAAACAGATAGGCGCCTATATTAGGCCGGCCGATCACATTTCGATCGATCGATCGAAATGCGCGGCTTTTAAGCGCGAAATCTAGTCAACTTTGTATATCTGTTTATCGAGGCGCGTGACAACTACGTATGTTTTTAAATGCGACCACAACATCTGGTCCCACTTAATTGACTGCCAGTGGTGCTGTGATACGCTGGTTTTTAACATTCGTGGAGCTGATCATAACCAAGTTTTATTGGATATTTTTGTATTTGGTCAATACTCCGTTAAATCTCCGTTTTCAGATGTAAATTAAAACACTAACCGTCAACAATTCTTCGAACTTCTCCTTGACGTTTTGAAGGAGGTAAACAGTTGGTTTGTCAGTACAGAAGACAAGCATCTCGAGAGTCTTGTCTCCCTTTAGGAGGAGACCGTTAGCCAAGTCTCCAACTCTGACACAACCTTTTAACACCCTAGTCTCTACTACCTCCTCTCCCTCGACTGGCTCTTTCAACAGTCCTGCAGGATATCAAGAATTCAACTTCAACCGAAAACGTAATTTTAGGGACATTGTATTAGTTGTAGGGACATCGTCAAGCTACGTGTAGTTCGCTAGAAATGTTATACAGAAACAGTAGATCTATAGATGTGGATACTGGCGGGGAGGTGATAATTGTTTGTTTACATTAATAGTGAGCACATGTTAAGCAGGCTGAGGAGGTGATAATTGTTTGTTTACATTTTAGGTCGAGCACATGTTAAGCAGGCTGATGAGGTGATACATATTTTGTATTATAGAAGGCTTGTAACACTTGTAACGCCTTCTTGTTACCCCCCTTTGAGGGCCCCGAATTATTTTCTGAACGAAAGCTCAAAAATAACCGAGAAATCGACCTTCTTATTAACTCATTTTGATGACCGTTTCTAACCTAAAATTGCACGAAAAATCGATTTAGCTAGGTTTCAGAACCTATAAACACTTCCTTATCCCTCAAAATCGATTTTTTATAGTTTAGAATGCGAGCAACAAGCAATATATATTTTGATCCTTCGGTTCTACAGCTTTGACCTAGGGCTGAAACCGAAAGATCGAGGCAATCCTCACTTTAACTGATCGAACTTGAGCGAAGAGCAGAGTACGAAAAAACACAGCAGGTAAGCAACTCATTTTGGTGACTGTTCTTCACCTGTACAAAGTTGCACGAGAAATCGATTTAAAGGACCAGTTAACTGAAAAATTTGTAGTCTCCAATTTGGCTAAGATTTAAATCAGCTGTGACAAACTGGTAAAGAATCGTATCGCCGAAAGAACCAACTCTCTATCGTACGTGTAACGCGTGTTATTGCAATAATAAGCTGTGGCCTCGTGACGTCATAAAGTCCCTCAGTGCGCGCTTGCATAGCGTAATTTACATTACAAATGTTTATCATCGTCAATAAAACACATGTAACTCACTCAAATTTTAGAATTATGACTTTTACCCTAGTTCTCCAAAATCCTTATAGTTTTGGCTATCATTCTAAGTAAAGGAATGGCTGATTGGATGTACAGTGCTCACGTCATGATTTTAAACAGTGATATAGGTTCTTGAACAGTGGCGGGTGAATGTACGGTTAGAAAGTTTCTGCTATTACAACTTATGTCATATCACATATGTGATAATTTTGGATTGCTTTCATTGCTTAATTACACAAGCAGCTAGGGAGACTGTACCGATTATTTTTGTCCATGAAACTCTAACGAATTTAGAAAGGATCTAGATAAGTAGGAGTTTGTTCAATTCCTAGAGCAATTATATTTATAGCATATAGCGAAATTTATAACTTTAATCCGCATGTGTCAGCCAGTACAGGAGACAAGAAGTCTGGCTACTTTACGGCCGTTCCTCTGGGACCATTAGTAGAAGTAGCTTCTATCAGAACAGTGCCGTGGGAACATAATTCCCGCCAAAATACCCGGTCTCGGGTCTACCAAACAGTAATACTGTTCGGAGTGTACGGTGTGCAGTGTGTTTTGAATTAGACTTACGGCTTACCTAGTTGTTATCCTAATTGCATTATCATCGGTACATAACATAAATAAACTACTGGTAAGTTTAAATACCAAGTGCAAACGTGTTCAGTCAATCGACCCACTGAACAATTATAGAATTTCCAAGACCCTATTATTCTCTGGCCATATATTACGGCACGATCGATTGTTAGATGGCTAAACGACCAACGTTATAATCTATACAATTCTAAAACTATGAGCTAGCACTTTAATCTAAAAATACACTTTTTATATTACTCCTGATTTTTACATTTCACGTAAAACATTGTCGCCACAGGTTGATCATGGACACTAACAGCTTAATTTGAGATAAATGACTTATGAGTTTCTCTAAAGTTAACTCTTAAGTTGTGTACTCATTTATGGACATTTATGGAAATGAACCTGCAAATGTTCAAATACTCTCGAAACTTTGCACAGACCTTCCTGAAGGTATGAATAAACGATTTTCGTTTGGAGACATTTTTTTGACCGTGGAGAAAACCCAGGAGGGCCACGCCCATATTGACCCAATAACGTAACCGACCCCTTGCTTCTGAAGGTCGTAGAGGCTTCAAAATAGGCTTAAACGAAGCCGCATATGCATGTTTATATAGGATTTATTGAGCAACACATGGCCTAAAATCCTTACTTTTCGAGAAATTCGCCAAAAACCATTTTGGGCGTGGTACTGGTGCTGAGCCCATTTTCGATAGGATCGTGATAGAGTCTTTGGACAGGGTGCAAAAGAACCGCAATTAGCATATTAATATATGACTTACGAACAAACATATGCCTTAAAGTGCTTACTTTTTCAGTTATTGGCGAAAAACTGATTTTCGGTTCCAGAAATCATACAAAACTATGGGTATCTGGTAACTTGGGCTATGAAGGCCCTAAAGGTTTTTGAATGTGTGCAAATTGTGCAGAATGGCCATGTTTATATACAACTTATGAAGCAACATGTACCCTAAATTACTTACTTTTCGAGTTATTTGGGGGAAAAGATTGTATTATGTCCATTTTCTACCTGTAAAATACAGTCTCACGAGCTCTTCTGCGCGCGGGAGGGACTTTATGACGTCATCGCCAAAATAATACAAACGCTATTTACACGCGTTAGAGAGCAGTTAGAGATTTAGGAATTTCGACTCGTTGCTTAGTTTGCTATTTGTCACAATCTGTCAAAATATGAGGATAACTTTTTTTTCAGTTAACTGGTCCTTTAAGTTGGTTTTACAGCCCAATAACGCTTCCCTATTCCTAAAATTTTTTTTGTTACTCAAACAAAGAAGTTTTAATACTTTCAACACTACTATATAACAAATAATTTGAGGTATGACACGAGGAGAAACGGCACGAAAACGAAATGTCAAGAAAAGTCCAGAGAAAACTGGTGCTACAGCAGAAACGGATGTAACTGAAGATGAAGGAGACCGTAGTTGTGAATGCAGAAGGTATATCGCAGAGGAGTTTTCATTAGCTTGTGCAACCTGTGATATGTACTGGCATTATTGCTGTGTTGGACTGACAGGTCTGACACAAGAAGAAGGCGACCATCTGTCTAACTGGCGTTGTCAGAATTGTTTTATATCACCTTACATAAAAAGCAGAAGGACTCAGACCTCGAACCCTGATAATGAAGAAACAAAAATACTACGGAATGTTATTAGGCAGGAACTTGAGGCTCTTACACCTTGTATCAGAGGGGTTGTTGAAAACGCAGTGAACGAGAACATTCCAACTAACTTTGAGTCTGAAAAACCTAAAGAAATATCAAAGATAGTGAACCAGGCTTTCCAGTCCTTCGCTGATGTTACTGCAAATAGTCAGAAGAAAGTTATGGAAGAAATGAGCCTACAGCAAGCTTCACAAAGTGTTGTCAGTAAAGTTCAGACAAAGATGCACACTGATGCATATGAGCGAAATTTAAGGAAGCTCAATCTGTGTGTTTTGAATGTACCAGAGAGCAAGAAAGCTAACTCCAAGTTACGCCAGGAAGAGGACTCGAAGTTCTGCAAGGAGACACTAAAGATTGAAAAAAGTGACTTTATCAGTTGCCATCGTGCAGGTAAAGTGGATCCAGGTAAGCCAGACTCCTGTCGGCCATTGATCATCCAGACAGCTGGATGATGAACTGTGCTTTAAGTTTACACCAACTGGAACCAAAGGAATATACCCGTGAGTGCTCCCTAGCTTAACTTGGACGGTAAGTGTTTGACAAAAAAAACTAGGACACGAATTCTCTGACAAGAAATGTATGTTACAGGAGCAGGCACTTGCGGTGTACACAAGGACGAGCATGGTTGTACCCATAATTGAAGTACCAGTTCAACATGGTGCAGTTCATTTTCAACAGGTTAGACAAATAACTCAAAATATCAATTTGTGTGGTGTAATTAGTTATTGACGTTTTAAATGTAAACTTGGAATCAGTCTTAGAATTGTAATAAGAGTTTGTGTAACTTTAAATGTTGCACTTGCCCTCAAATGCAATTGCGTTTATTTTGTGTGTGTGGGGTGTTTATTTTAGATGAGATAACACGGAAGTATTGGTAAAATTGATAACGGGTAATGGGTGCGCTGTTGCTATGGTTCGAGTTCAATGGACCTCTCTTTAGTTCGTTAACCAGCTACATTTTATTTCGGTTCATGGGTTAGAGCTTTGCTGTACGCTATTAAAATTTCTATTTAAAATCTACTTGTATTGAATGAAACTGGCAAATATTTTAGCTAGTACCGTACACATTCGTGTCGTTTTTTCCTCCTCAGTCCTCCTCATCCTCCTCCTCCCCCTCCTCCTCTCCTCCTTCCCCTCTTCCTCAGTCCTCCTCATCCTCCTCCTCTTCCTCCTCCTTCCCCTCCTCCTCAGTCCTCCTCCCCCTCCTCCTTCCCCTCTTCCTCAGTCCTCCTCATCCTCCTCATCCTCCTCATCCTCCTCATCCTCCTCACCCTCCTCATCCTCCTACTCTTCCTCCTCCTCCTCCTTCTCCTCCTCCTCCTCCCCCTTCTTCATCCTCCTCATCCTCCTCCTCTTCCTCCTCCTCCTCCTCTTCCTCCTCCTCCTCCCCCTCCTCCCCCTCCTCCCCTCCTCCCCTCCTCCTCCTCCTCCTCCTCCTCCTCCTCCTCCTCCTCCTCCTCCTCCTCCTCCTCCTCCTCCTCCTCCTCCTCCTCCTCCTCCTCCTCCTCCTCCTCCTCCTCCTCCTCCTCCTCCTCCTCCTCCTCCTCCTCCTCCTCCTCCTCCTCCTCCTCCTCCTCCTCCTCCTCCTCTGTTTGTCTGTTCGTATCTTCAGTCATCCTCCTCCCCAGTCATCCTCCTCCTCCTCCTCCTCCTCAGTCCTCCTCAGTGGAACGCTCCATTTGCTATCTGAAGCGGTACAAGATTTTGGGAAACAAAGTTGTGGCGAAGATGTTGCCTTATCTGAGCGACATCGCATTCGTGTGTGCCCAACTTGTCAATTTGAACCCTGTTTTTTTAAGGGAGGTGGACAGTGATTTTTTAAAAATGACCAGGTCTACTTAAATAACTAAAAATTATGTTAATGTTCTGTTCCTGACTGGACGATAAGCACCACAGTCAGTTGGGGGAGAGACCAACACACTATCAAGATTGTTTGACTATCGTAAACAACCCCCGCCCCCCCCCCCCCCCCCCAACAGTTTGCATTGTAGTTTGTACATGGGCAGTGGGCACGGTTACATTATAACGATCACGGATCACACAATTTCTAGTTCTGCATGACGTAATCATGGCGTGTGTACCGAGGTGCAGAATATAGGAGCACCTTGAAATTGCCAAGCTGTGGCGGAGATAACAATGTGAACAAAGGGTCAAATACAGATAAGAAAGGTAAACATACGATATAATGTCCCTCTGCTCACTCTTCCTGTTTGTGATTGGACGGATCAGCGTCACGTGACAGAACACCTCTATTACAATTGGTCGGGATCACGGAGCACATCAGGGCTGCCCGTCGTCCGAATAAATTTAATTCAGTTGTTATTATGATTGTTATATCATGGTGTTGGTTACCTACCTTTATTTTGTTTCTTTTGACTTTGCTATCGTGCTCTGCTCTGAAAATTGTGATAGAACCTGTTCGAGTTGTTAACGAGATGATCTCCTTGTTCTTTCGTTGCAGAATCATCATGTTCTTTGTTTGAGTAACAAAAAAAAATTAAGGAATAGGGAAGCGTTATTGGGCTGTAAAACCAACTTAAATCGATTTCTCGTGCAACGTTGTACAAGTGAGGAACAGTCACCAAAATGAGTTGCTTACCTGCTGTGTTTTGTCGTACTCTGCTCTTCGCTCAAGTTCGATCAGTTAAGGTGAGGATTGCCTCGATCTTTCGGTTTCAGCCCTAGGTCAAGAGCTGCAGTAGAAGCGAAGGATCAAAATATATGTTGCTTGTTGCTCGCATTCTAAACTATAAAAGATCGATTTTGAGGGATAAGGAAGTGTTTATAGGTTCTGAAACCTAGCTAAATCGATTTGTCCTGCAATTTTAGGTTAGAAACGGTCATCAAAATGAGTTAGTAAGAAGGTCGATTTCTCGGTTATTTTTGAGCTTTCGTTCAGAAAATAATTCGGGGCCCTCAAAGGGGGGTAACAAGAAGGCGTTACAAGTGTTACAAGCCTTCTATAATACAAAATATGTATCACCTCATCAGCCTGCTTAACATGTGCTCGACCTAAAATGTAAACAAACAATTATCACCTCCTCAGCCTGCTTAACATGTGCTCACTATTAATGTAAACAAACAATTATCACCTCCCCGCCAGTATCCACATCTATTGATCTTCGTATTAGAACTTATCAAAATATACAGCACAGTGACTGAAATAATAACCTTTGTCCTTGAGTTCAGCTTCAGTTTCGTCTCTCATTGTATCGGAGATGGTTTTCAGATTATCCTCCGTCACTTTCACCAGGTTTTTAATGTTAGTCAGCTCAGTAGGGTCGGGGTATATCTCATCATGCAGCTTCATTATCAACTTGTTGTCGTTGTTATCTCCCTCGCGAGACGCCTGTGGTAATTGTGTCGAGCAAATTGTAATTCAAATATTTAAAATCATACATGGTATATATGTCAGCTGGTGTTAAAATAAAATAAAATAAGAGTACAAGTAGATAATTGGCTGAATGACTACTCACGAAGCCAGCTGATTGTTGAACTTGACCGGGTGTTATTTCACTCTGCTCTGTCTCCTGCCACTGCTTCCACTCCTCTTCTCTCTGCTCTTGCATGTTTCTCCACTCTGTCGACACAATCAGTCAATTAATATCCAATTAAAATGCAATTAAAATCTAATTACAATCCGATTAAAATCGCGGAAACTTATATTCACATCACGCATGATATTGTAAGCTCTGAAAATAAATCGGTGTTTTTTCACCGCCTACACGATTACTTTCTCGTAATAATAAATTAAAAATAGCTCAAAAATACAATAGGTCAGACATTTCTTAAAACTAGATTAAGTTCCTTTTCTCACCCTCTTCTCGCTTCCATCTCTCTTCCTCCCACTTGCTACGTCTTTCGTCCATCATCTTCCTCCGTGCCTCAATCTCCTCCAGACGCTTCTTAGCTCGCTCTTCTGCTTGTTGATTACGCTTGTTCTGAAAATTATTGTCATTATCACAATTCTGTTATCAACCTCAAAGTTATTTCAGTGAAATCTATATTCTACAACTGAGGTACTTAATATTTCATTGAAAAGTGCTGAAAACTATGGATCCACTCAATTTCTTGAAGTAATTTATCAAATTCTTACCCTTTTCTCAGTTCTGTCAGCTTCCTCTTTGGCGATGCGTTCGGCTTTTTTCTAAATGGATGATAGTTATATTAAACCGCAACTAAAATTAGATATTATTCAATACGTAAAATTCTTTGAAATTTGCTATCAATGAAGGAGGAAAACATAATTAGTCATTATCAAGGCATCAATCTTTCAGATTTTGGCGAAAATTGAGGACATGGTAATTACCGTTAAACTACCTTTATTTTCAGGATAGAAAAGTTAATCTTGATAGGAACATATTCTATATGTTTAACATTCGCAAGAAAAAAGATAAAACATACTGGAATAAGAAGTGCCCCATTGAATGTAGCTACATGAAATCAGCAAAATGGAACACTTCTTAAAAACGATGCGCGTCTGTCACACTGTAACAGTATGTGTAAACAAATATTATTTACCGCAAGTTCCTCTTTGACCTTCTCAAGATCAACTTCTTCTTTTTCTGAAGAATAACCAGGTCTTCGCATTGGTTACAATTATCTCTTATCTTCAGTACATGAACCCAAATGTCCGAGTCTGTACAGAATTTACCCGAAACAGAGTTGCATGGTTACCATGGTTACATGGTTCCTGTAAGTAGCTCTACAGGATGCAAGACTGAGTGAGAGCATTTTGCGCAGGCTGGATCAAATGGGCATGCACTGGGTAAAAATAGCTTCCAAATTATATAACGAATTAATATGATTTATAAATTCATTTTCTCTTGATATGAGGTATCATTGGGGTCACATAAACTTTAATAAAATTTATCAGTATTGAAGGTTAAACAGACTGATCCCTTCTTTTTTACACAATTCAAGGTTTAAGAAGACACTGGCCATTCCTTTAGTAGAAGAGCTCTTAGATATTACTCTTTTGTTAGTTTCAAGTTGTGAAGCTAACGGGGCAAAATAAATCAGACTTTTAAAGATATTCATAAATTCACGATCAAAGAGATGGAATCTTTAAAATTTCAACAAAACATTTCATAGTGATACCAAGTACACATCGCAATAGGTGTAAGTGAATGTAATCAATGCGGCAATGCAAAATTTAAGTAATTTTGAAAAAATTTTGGAGCTAAAAAGCTTTATTGAATATGCTATACCTCCTTTGTTGTTAGTTACAGTTGGGTTAGGAATAACTTTCCCAAGTTTCCTAAACAGCAGAACAGTCTGAAAAATGTGATAGTTGTTATTACCTACTAAACATTGCCTATGATTTATCATTTCTTCAAATTCTTTTTATTACCAAAACTATGAAAAGTCTAATAGGAAATGTATTGATAGTTGGTGGGTACGTTTCCTGCTAAATTTCTTAAAAATAACTAGGAGCTAACCTTACGAGGTAAAAAATTAAATCTTACGGTAGTTTCTCAACTCGAAGTTTGAAACTATGACTACCTCTACCTCATAAGAGAAGATAAAAAAGTAGTGATCAGACACGATATACCCGTTGTACTGTGTAAAGTATACTCAGTGTACTGTGTAAAGTATACTCTGTGTACTGTGTAAAGTATACTCTGTGTACTGTGTAAAGTATACTCTCTGTACTGTGTAAAGTATAGTCAGTGTAAAGTGTAAAGTATACTCTGTGTACTGTGTAAAGTATACTCTGTGTACTGTGTACTGTGTAAAGTATACTCTGTGTACTGTGTAAAGTATAGTCAGTGTACTGTGTAAAGTATACTCTGTGTACTGTGTAAAGTATAGTCAGTGTACTGTGTAAAGTATACTCAGTGTACTGTGTAAAGTATACTCTGTGTACTGTGTAAAGTATGTACTCAGTGTACTGTGTAAAGTATACTCTGTGTACTGTGTAAAGTATAGTCAGTGTACTGTGTAAAGTATACTCAGTGTACTGTGTAAAGTATACTCAGTGTACTGTGTAAAGTATACTCAGTGTACTGTGTAAAGTATACTCAGTGTACTGTGTAAAGTATACTCTGTGTACTGTGTAAAGTATACTCTGTGTACTGTGTAAAGTATACTCTGTGTACTGTGTAAAGTATAGTCAGTGTAAAGTGTAAAGTATACTCTGTGTACTGTGTAAAGTATACTCTGTGTACTGTGTAAAGTATACTCTGTGTACTGTGTAAAGTATACTCAGTGTACTGTGTAAAGTATACTCTGTGTACTACCTTGTTATGCTTGCTGCCTGTCATATGAGCAGAGAACGCTTGTTCGCCAGTACAGCTAATGTCACACAGTTCACATCTGTAAAGTTTACCGAAGGAATGGTAACCACGTGCTGGCTTGTTATCACCTCCTTCCTTCTCCTTCTCTTTCTTCTTGTGCTTCTGTCCATTACAATGCTCTTTGTAAGTCTGAGCAAAGTTAGAGTAAAAGTTAGGCGGGTGTGACATGTCTGTAAGATTAGGTGATACAACTGGTTCAGTAAGAACGAAAATTTGGTTCTAGTAATATAAATTTAAATTCAAACTAAAGCTGAAGTAAATTAGAAAGTTAAAGTAATTAACAAGCAGTCCATAAATATAACTTACCAAAGCACCCATACAGCTAACTTTGCAGATTTCACAGTAATATGTTCGAGGAGGTTCTTTTCCAGCAGCAGCATTTGCTTTAGTCCGGTTGTACCAGTTTTGTTTGGTTAGTTTTGTTTTGGAGCCTTCGTGAGAACCACGGTTAGCAGTTGCAGCAGATGAAATAGCTGCAGCTGTTGCTGCAGAAGCCCAATCAACCTGAGAAATGTATTATTCCATTAACGTTAGCCATCAGAATAAATATATTTTTGGGTATGTTTATCATGTCAAAGCATGTTATCAAAATCATCTTATAATTTGTTAATTAACAATTTACATAGTTGTAAGTGGTGGAGGCGGTACTCTGAGTGGTAGCGGTTGGGTTGAGAGTATAGGAAGTGTACGTAGTTCCAGGAGTTGTGGCTGCATAAGCGGTTGATACACTTGCCCCCGGGGCAGGATACGTATTGTAGGTAGTTTCTGCACCTGATTATGAAAGTAGTGGATATCAGACTATTCAGGTACTTTTGTACTAATATGTGTCCTGTATAGTGACAAAAGTAAATTATTTAACTTGATCATGTGATAATTGAGATACTACTGTTTAAATTTAGTAATTTAAGGAAAGAATTACCGGTGATAGTAGAATAGGTGTTAGCATATGGAGACGAATATGTTGTTGAGTTACCAAAGTAACTACTGTAGTCACCCATAATTTGAACTACCTATCGGTATATTGTGAGTAAATTAATGTTAAACATATACATTATACATACACTCGATGCAGTTTTAGGGAAGGGAATTACTCAGTGTTCTTTAATCCACTTTATGTGATAACTTGTAAGTTTAAAATTTAAAACTACTGTTCAAAGTGCACAGGAGTGGGGATCATGTTTTTTTTGCCTTTTTTGTCCGTGGGCTGTTTTCAGAAAATAGGGTACCGCACGGACAAAAGCGGACAAAAACGGACAAACATTGTAACTTTTGATTTAAATTGTCTCCACAATTTGTAACGGGCTATCTGCAGAAACTCAGAAATGGGTAGCATGGGTAATGACCATGGTCCTTTCTCAAACTTTCAATCCCTAATTAGGTACAAAGAATAGTCTACACATTTTTTAATAACATATAAAGGGATGAAAATCACTTTATTTATGAAAAATATCGTGTAACAACTTTTCCATAGTACTGGAGAATAAAACTCTGTTAAACAAAAAAATTCTTTATTAAAGCTGGTCTTCGACTTGGACGGGAGTTTTACCAACAGGCTCTATTACGTGGCCAGCAAAACGTAATAGAGCCTGCTTCTTGCAGGCTCGGATGGAGGGAAGTCGGAAGAAAGACGGTTGTCTTGTAGAGAGTCTCTTTGGACATCTCGTCCAAAGCTTGGCCTCTCACTCTGCTGCTGTAACAATACAGGTTTCTGCTGAGTTGTAGTTTGAAACTCTCCTCTGTACCACAGAGTTTCGCCTGCACACTAGCAGATAGTAATACCCCTTCCCAGTTCTTCTCTAGGAGTTGTAGATGTCTGTGAAGACTTGAGAGTGCCGTTGTCATGGCTGTGAGGTCGATTTCCACAGTCTGGAGAAGGTTTCAGACCTGAAGGATGCAATGTCTGAGGAAGAAGGGTTGATTTATTCTAATAAGTTCGTTAAAACGAATAGTTGGAATTTGGAAAACTTTTAACTGTATCGTGACTCTTCAGCATAAATAATGGAATGATACATTGATAAAGTAATGAAATTAACTCACCCTGTTCGCTTTTGTCAGGATCTGCTCGCACAATATCAGAGTTATTGTGAACTCAAAGCTCACAGGAGTAATCCAGTTGCTCTGGGAGTAATCCAGTTGCTCACAGGAGTAATCCAGTTGCTCTGGAAGCTCTGTCTGGAAGCTCTGTCTCCAGTGAGCAAGACTTTAGTCAATACTCTGATAATTGCCTCCTACTGGCATTTGATGGCTCTCACACTTTCGTGTCTGGAGCCTAGCTCCATCTAGTTGGACAGAGCCGTTTCAGATCCAACCCGTAGTTGTTCATCTTTAGCTCCTGCCATCTCAAATAGCTGGACTCGATGCATTATGTTTCAGCTGAAATTTGAAACATAATGTATGTGTACTGTATACTTAAGTGAGCCTGTTCTCGTCATTCGTGTTTAGTATCTTACAGAGATGGGAATTAAACTGCTGATAAATAAATTCAAGAATGAACTGGCCATGATAGGCATTGGACTATTACATATAACTATTCAATTCCAATTTACCTGTCCCGAGCAATCAAACAAATCCTTCACATTGATAATCGACCCAACAGAATCTTGAAGGACCAGGTTTAGGTTGTGTGACGAGCAGTGTACAAATGGCACAGGGTTTAAAATCTTCTGTTTGATCAAGGCTTGAACCTTGTTGTGTATGCCGGACATTACACTTGCCCCATCGCGTCGTAGCCCTAAGCAAAAACGTGTTATTATTCCTATGATATTAGATGCTAAGAGCTCTAAAATTTTGTTGATTCATAAGTTGTCCATTGTTGCAAAAACTCCATCCATTTACATAATCTTTTCAATTTACTAATTACTAATTACTTATTGCTCATTGCTACTTACTTATTGCTAATTACTTATTGCTAATTACTTATTGCTAATTACTTATTGCTAATTATTCATTGCCAAGGCGTAATATTGATAGCTATCTGTGCGACCTCTTTTGTTTACGTACCTGTGCCCTTAGTTGATCGATACTTAAGCCTAGATCTGCTATCTTCTCTATAGCAGCGGTGGATACTGCCTCAGCTCTGCAGAACTGGACTTCATAGGAACAAAGCCTAATAAGCTATCTTCTATCGTAAAGGCGTCTCCTTTCACTGATACGTATCTCACAACGATACTCAGTTGATCAATCTGAAATAAAGATAACTTTAAGCTAATCTATGATTACCTACTCATATTTCATGGACCATTGTCGAATGTAGTTTAGAACACAGTACAAACGCGTAGATGTCTAATCATCACATAACAGAAGTTTTGTAATGTTTGTGCTCACCTTGCTGATGTCAGTTGTCGAATCCAGGATTAGAGCGAAGAATGGGGACCGCAGCAAAGAGTTTACGATAACTTTGATGGTCTCCACACCTGTAAGAACAATAACCTCGTTCTGGATGGTTGGGCTGAGGTACCAGGTTTTCCTTTTTCAGTGGAGATGACTGTCGAATTTGGCAACCAGGTTTACTAACTCTTGAAAATTCCCTCCAGAGCATTTGGTTTCTCAGATTATCTCTCGATATACCCCGAGAGCGATGTTCATGCTCGCCGCACTCATAATTCAGTAGTAAAACACTATACAAAAGATGTTATGTCGGAATGCTGTCTAAGCGTATTGAATATCAGCGTTGGAAGATGTTTGGTCATATACTCAGCCCTAAGGAGCCAGGGAACACTTCCAGCTCAAGTGGCATTATCACTCGCTATTGAATCTGACAATCTGTTTGTTGATAGATTAGCAAGACCGAGAATGAAATTTTTTTCTATTTTAAGAAATGATTTAGTTGCAAGAAATATGTTTATCAATAACTTTAATAATGAACTGAAATATATGGCAGCTTGCAATTTAAATGTTGAAACAATTTTGTTTTACTAAAATATTTATATGACCGTCGACGAATTCAACTCGGCGCGCGTTTTTTAGGTTTTAAACTTACAATTTTGTTGGTACGATTCTGTTTAATATTAATTATAAATCAAAAATATTTCATTTTCATTGACATTCATGGTTGACGGATGTTACTCGTTTAAATTTCTTTGAAGTAGCGCACGCCGCTTTCTTCTCGAAATGGCATGTGCTACGAAGTAGCGCGCGCAGGGCCAAATCATTAACAATTAACAATGGTCAATATTCATGGATGATACTAAGAGACACGTTTTCGATCTAAAAATAGTTGCGTTTATAATTATTTGCTGCGCGGCGCAACCCAGTTGTGCATTGCGCTACAAGTTTAACCCATGTATCCAAAAGATGTCCGATGCTTTGGAAAACTGTAGATCCTATACAATTAAGGACTTTAACACACATATCAAACCGTGTTTTGCAAGCAACTGCTCCACGATTTTCCAGAACATAGATGGTAATAAAACAAATTTTGATGCCTTTAGCATGGAACTAAACCGATTAGCCGAAAAATTTAAAATTATTGGACTTGCTGAAACCAATATTGGAATAGAGGAAAGCACTGTTTACCATCTAGAGGGGTACAATTGTTTCTATCAGGACAAACATATCAATAAAGCAAAGGGAAGTGGAGTAGCATTGTACTTAAAGGACGAATTTAACGGAGTTGTAAACGAAGAATTATCATGGGTAACCAAAAATCTTGAAACCCTATTTATTACTATTCAACATGATGAACCTGTACATGTAGGAGTACTGTACCGTCCTCCTAGTGGGGACTCCTCAGAGGCACTAAATGAACTTAGAAAAATTATTGAATCATGCCCAAAAAAGAATGTTTACATACTAGGTGACTTTAACATTAATCTCCATGATGAAAACAGTAAACTTGTTCAAGACTTTGAAAACCTTATTCTAGGTCTAGGTTTATCACCACTTATTTCTACTTCCACGCATCATAAACCAGGATGTAACGAATCATGCATTGACAACATACTCACCAACAACATAGAGAACTCTATCTGCTCTGGAACAATTAGTACCTGCATCAGTCACCACCATGCTGTATTTAACATATTCAACTCACCCCTAGTCAGTACTGAGGTTCATGAACAAAACTATTTCCAGTACTATGACTACTGTGCAAAAAATGTGGACAAATTTGTGGAAGTACTAAACAATGAATTAACTAGTGATCCACCAGAAGACTTCAGTAATTTTTTCACTGTATTTAATCATCAACTAGACAGTGCATGTAAACTAAACCAGCCTAAGTGTTCTAAACGTACTGCTAAGAATAATCCATGGATTACATCAGGCCTGATTGCCTCTATAAATAGAAAACATGAGCTTTATGACCTGTGGAAAAAGGCAGTTAAGAAGAAATGCCTCAACGCCTATTCAACCAACCATGCAGACTGTCTTACCCTTTGTTTTAATTGTACAAATAAAGTAGCACGTCATGAAGAATTTAAGGCACACCGGAAGTTATTAAACCACCTTATTAATTCTGCAAAATGTAAGTATCATGGTGTTAAGATTACAGAATGCGCTGGAGATAGTAAGAAAACTTGGCAGATAATTAATGAACTACGTGGTAAGAAAAGACGTGAGATTAAACCTAACTTTGTGATAAATAATGAGCGTGTGATTAATCGTCGTGTAATTGCAAATGAGTTCAATAAATACTTTAGGTTATGCTATTTCTGTCTGGGGAGGTATTCCCAATAATCAGTTAAAACCGCTATTTATTACTCAAAAGAAGTGTATCAGGATTCTATTTGGAGACTATGAAGCTTATGTAGACAAGTTCAAGACATGTGCTAGAGTAAGACCAATTAATTCTCAACGTCTAGGATCTGAATTCTATGTTAAAGAGTCCACTAAGCCTCTATTCACAAAACATGAATTACTTGTTACAGAGAACCTGTACAGATACCGTTGTTTAATGGAACTTTTTAAGATCATTAAGTCAAGAGTACTAATTTCGTTATACTATTTATTCAACATATCAAATGTATCTTAAACTTTTCAAACAATACATAATTATACAGAATTGAA